AAATCAATTAAATTATTAGGGGAATAATTTGGGATCTTTAGTTCTTGTTTTACGAACATAGAGTTACGTAAAGTTAATAGATAAACTATGTCTAATTCAATTTATCTCTATTTAATTTAGAATGTATTGCCAGATAATTTCATTGTATTTAACTATTCTACTGTATTACGTTTCAATACGATTTGTATGTCTAATAACGTCCGAGAACCCCATGAATAACATGATACTAGCTTGTGAGATTCGTCATTATTATCAATAAATCCTCCCCGGAAGTGTAACCAGAGTCTCCTGGACGGAGAGCGTGGAATTTGTGAATAGATCTATTTGGGACTGACAATCCCACACCTAAACTGCTAGCTACAGTTAGGCGGGCACGCCTGGATGACAAATTCTGGAAATCGTTTGACGTCTGACAAACTTCAAGGAGGTCTCGGTGTCGCATTAGCATGGTTACCCGACTCACAATATGTATTAATATATATTTATTCACAGATTGAATTTTATATCTACTTTCTACCTATACTTCTTATATCTAGTACGAGATGGTAATCCCATGGTTTGTATCTTATATCTAGTACGGGATGGTAGTCCCATGGTTTTCAACTATATCTAGTACGGGATGGTAATCCCATGGTTTTGTGTCTTATATCTAGTACGGGATGATAGTCTCATGGTTTTCAATCTATATCTAGTACGAGATGATAATCCCATGGTTTTCAATCTATATCTAGTACGGGATGATAATCCCATGGTTTTGAATCTATATCTAGTACGGGATGATAGTCCCATGGTTTTCAATTTATATATATCTATAGTTTTGTGTATATCAAACTATCTTATAACTGGTACGAGATAGTAATCCCATGATTTTCAGTAAATAGTTTTATGTGTAAAACTATACAATGTGGTCTTTAACTAAAACTTTACTTTTAGGAAAATATAGGATTTTCCTTGGATAACAATTGTACATAACCAGAGTCGTGTAACAAAACAGTTAACTAAACATTACTTTTAAGAAAATATGGGATTTTCTTGGGTTTGTAACTTTTTCGGAAAACCAAAGGAAACTTAAACATTTTCAGAAAACAAACATCTTATGAACTCACTAGCTTTATGCTGATTTTCAAACTGCTTGTATTCTCAAGTCCGCATTAGACAGGTACCCAGCGATCCTTTTGGCGAAGATGGAGTACGTAGAAGACACGTCTTTACTTTTGTTCATATGACACATATGTATAACACTTGTAACACTTTACATTTGAACAAATGTAAATTCTAATATGTAATGTAATGGTTGTTTACTTTGCTTACTATGTGCATTGGATTTGATACTCAACATGGAGTCCGCCCCGGAAACGTTTCCGCCTTGGGTTTCGGGGTATGACACCTTGGTACAAGGTGTACCACTCTAGTGTGTCATGGAGTACTCTAGAATATTGATGTGTTGTTGAAGCATGTATGTGCCATTAATGATCATCATGCACCACTTGTGCATCATGATGTGCCATTAGGTGGCTTGATGTGCCACACATGTTCCTAGTGTGCCATATATGTTCCCAATGAGCAATGATATCCCTTGATGAACCACTTATGTTGTGAAGTCCTCTGTGATGCTCAAGATTGTTCAAGGTTGCTCATATGTTAAAGATGCTCAAGAATTATTGCTTGATGTGCCACAATGATGATTGATGATCCATGATGATCTTGATGTGCCGCTCTTGAATCATGATGAACCACTACCGATCATGATGCATCATCATGTGTGTTTTTGACACTCATATAATGATGAATGCTCCTGAAGCTGATGCATGAGAGATTGTGATTGGTTGACACCATTCATGGTCCTATGAGCCAATCGACCCATTAAGGTTTTGGTTATGATCCCTCATTATAAATAAGGATGTTTGCTAAGTCATTTGATGTGTCTTTTGTATCCTTAGTGAGTAGGTCGAATATCTGTTGAGTTGTACTTGTAATCTTTGTTTGAGAACTCTGTAAATAAAGAATACTCCTCTCCTGTCGTGGACGTAGGTCACTTTGACCGAATCACGTAAATATTGTGTCTTTGTGTGATTTTGGTTTCGTGTGTTTTTTGCATTACTTCCTAGAAAGGGTCATCAGAACCTAGCAAGTGTCATCAGATTTGTTATGAGTCTCGACCAATATCGTATGCGTTCCTAACAATCTAAATTACTATTTTGCTTTTATTTTAATTCTTTGTTAGTTTTTTATTATTTATATAATAACCAACTAGCTATACTTCTAACCCCTAGTTTTTACCTCGTCTATTCTAACTTTCTGGTGCATCCAGATCACATCGACGACCTTCGTTACTTTCTTCCGCACCCATTCCTTGTTTTTCCTCCTCACCAACGCATCTTCTCTTCACCAATGAGACCGTTTGTCTTCCCCTCAACTTATCCATTTTTTCATTAGGCCACCGATATTGGTCTTATGTCGGCCATGTAAGGCTGATCTGGAGGGGTACTCCATGCATATCCCTTACCGATTAACAAGAGACTCCTTGCTAACCACAGAAGAATGAATTTCATTGCGGTCTCATAAATCACATATGGGGAGTAGATACCCAACCATTGCCAATTAATAACTGACTCCTTACTAAACTCAGGAGAATCAATCCCTTTGTGGTCACATTTTTAGACACTACTTTGATACGGAAAGTACCATGCTAGTAGTGTCTCATTCATCCCATTACGGGTACCTGTTACATATGAATGCTTTAGTAACATAAGACCCAATACTCAACTCACAATATACATAGAACTATTAACAATTCCCCTATCCACAATACATACAAACAAATAAACATCAAATGTTTAAGCATTTAATCAATTTTCATAAGCATTTACATATAAGAAAAACTTGATTAACTTTGTACTTGTTTACAATACTACATGTACTCATAAGTTTGCTTTGGATTGTTCTCCTATTTACAATACTAGGGGGTCTCCTCTTTACTATACATATAAGCATAATCATAAACAAACTCTAATAAGAATATTTTAAAACATAATTATTACTTTATCAAGCCATGTATTCTTAGCAAAAAATATCCATAAAATTCACCTTGTTAGTTAGTGAAAATTAATTATCACTGTGGCCTTTAGTCTCTACTTGATGCACTTGATCAATATTCTTTGCCAAACCATATTCAAATAACATATCAAGCTCCTTAGAACTTGTCTTAAGCCATTAAGAGCTTAATTCAGTTGATCACCAAATTTTACATTACAAATTATTCTCTCAAAGCTAATTAAGCTCCATGAATTTAGCTTATATATGACTTAATTCATTTCCCTTAAGTCAATTAAAAGGTCTCACCAGTTTCATCATTTATGGTTTAATAACCCTTAACACCAAAACTCAACATAATTAAAAAGTCTCGTCACTTTCATCATTTATGGTTAATAACCCTTAACACCAAAACTCAACAATTCATCCACGAAACTTTCAAACTAAGCTTGAAATCCTAGATGAAACATTTACTACTTCATTATACTAAATATTCAAAGCATTTGAATAAATTATGGAAATTCATACAAAATTCACCATGGATGAATCATAGAAGCTAGCTAGAGAAATAAGGAGTTGCCTTGATTAATTTAATTTTCTACAAGCTTGAAGTGCCTGTACCTTTTCCTATAAAATCTGACCTTATTCTTTAAAAATCATCGAAGCTTTACTATGAGTCGTTCCTGGAAGAAATGACCTAAATGAACTTACTTTCAAACTTATCAACTTATCTATTTCCGACGATTACACACCACGTAATCCACATGGACATGTCACATTCAAGAAACATGATGGGTTTTGGTCATAAGACATCCTATGTGCTCATACAAACACTAATGCTTGGATCTAGGTTTCTCTATTGTACATGCTTTGAATCCAAGACTATAAACCCTAATTCTAGCATATGGAAATCGATATTAACATATAATTAGATTTAAGATATTACCTTGATTGTTATGTAGCAATAACAATCCTAATTCCTCCTTGAATTGACTTTGGAAGGCTTAGAGTCACAAGTGTCACTCCTCTAATGGCTTACAAACACCAAGAGCAAATGGAGAAGGTATAAAGAGAGAGGAGAGGTATAAGAATTCGTCTCTAGGACCTCTTGGGAAGGGATACCCGAATTCATGAGCCTTAGGGGGTTTATATAGGTGTAAAGATTAGGGTTTTAGTCCTTATCCTTATCTAGTTGCTTGCCCACCAAGTAACCATAAGATAAGTCTTAGAAACCCTTATCCTAATCGAATTCTAAGGCATTATCTCCTTAAATTCGTTCACCCTATATTTAAGATAATCCTTACCTTATTTTGTAACTATCACATAATTACAAATCAGCCCCTCTAGTTTAATTAATTACACTTGATCACAAAATTAATTCCTAATTAATTATTGACCAATATTAATTAAACAAATATGATTTCCCCTTTAATATATTATTCTTATAACATATTAATAAATCATAATAACCTTTCTCTCTTTATTTATTTCTCCAATCAAGTTGCTTTGGTGAAGGCAACCCAAAAGGACCATGCACTATCGGGTCAAGTACATACCAAAATAGTTATGGACTTAGACACTAATCCAACAAAACATACATGTGTCGTGTTCCAGTTCTATAAAGTTTAAGCAACATACATTTGATGCATTATGCTTCACCTATTGAACACCTCACTTTCACTTATGTATAATGTTATTTTTAGTTATAGCAATGATGCGTACCCGGATTTCGGCCCTTGATGATCCCGTAACATCGGTGGTGTAGAAGGTATGAATCATGAGATAACAACACATAAGTGAGTCGTTCACCGGGGATGCTCCTGGGAGAACACTCTGATGATAAAGTCAGGCAAAGATAGAGTGAATAGTGTTTTATGTAAATGTAAGTTTGAGTACTTTTTTCATACCTTTACCGACCTACCGAGGCTCTTTTTATATCAGCTTATCTCAGGAACAGGCGCACCGAAATGTACTGTGCAGAGAAGGGTCTAATCCTCATAAATGCTCATGTTGCTGAACGTATAAGAATGGTAACAAAGAGGAGTCACCAGTTATGTCAGTTTGTTATTGGAGAACCGTTAGCAGCCTTAAGTACTGTACGACCTGACCTTTGTCAATATTGTTAGTTGTATACCCGTCACTTGTACATAATGTTTGTTCTCTTAACCTTACTTTCTTTTCTTGTTTTAGTAGCCTCGGTAGGTATAGCTCCACGAATCATGTGTCGGCCCTCCAAATGTGGTTCGGCGGTACATGCCTCACCAAATCATGCCTCGGTGAATCATACCTTGGTGCCCCGAATGTAGTTTGGAGGTACATACCTCGGTAACCAGGTATATACTTACTTCATTAAGCAACATATTTCACTGTCTTCGTCAAACAAGATTAACACATCATGCAATCGGCATTTCAACATACTTCATTTCAGATTTCGTTCCAGTTGTTACCAATTTTCCTTCTAACTTTAACTGAACGTATTTTTCTCATCGTATATCCAATTTCTATGAACTTTATAGCCTCACGAAGGAAAGATCTTAACAACCCCATTAAGTCATTTATGACTTATTACGCATGAAGTTAAATCCATTAAGTCACAAAGTAACTACCAAAATGTAAATTTTTACATTTTACCCTTGTCTAAATATACTGTTAATGGTTAAAATCACTTAAACTAACATAATAAGTCATCATAAAGATAACTTTTAACATATTTCAACTTATTCATAATACTAAATCTTTATAATCTCACCATTTTCATAAAAATGACCAAATTACGATTTTAATCACATTCGCTCCAAATTTTTTACATTTTTTAGGAACGTTACATGCAGTTTATACCTTTTATTTTTAAGAAATTCAGTTTATAGTTTTATGTTTTTAATATAGCAGTTTTAACTATTAAATTTCTTAATAATGTAGATATTTTTTCTGTAAATATTAAAAAATTATTATAACTTGATTTAATCACTGGAGAGATAAAAAGTTTTATACAAATTTATATGCTTTGGGATAAAATTTTGTTCTTATTATACAATTTGCATTGGAGATGCTCTAGTAATATATGCTCATTAAATATTAAATAAAACTATAAAAGACCATATTAGAATTATAACCATTCCGTGGTTAAGTCGATGGTCTAAAATTATATAGTTTTTAAGAAATGTTCTATTTGAAAATTAAATACCATTTACTGTTTCTTTATACATGTATTTATACTCATATAAAACATGACGGAATCCATTAATTCTTTATCTTAAGTTTTTATTTTTTAGTTTTGATACTTTTTCTTGATCTAATGGATATGAGATTGATAGTTTTTATTTTTTAGTTTTGATACTTTTTCTTGATCTAATGGATATGAGATTGATAGGAATAAAAGGCAAAAAAAAATATTTGATTTCTTTTCATATTTGTCCTTATGTTCACTGATCATCACGATAACTGTTAAAATCAAATCATGAGATGATAGAAAAAAAAATGGTTTAACAAGCATGTCAATTATTAAATAGGGTAGAGGTAGATGATGAAATATGAGAATAAAGTAGGGAGATTTTTTTTAATATAAATATGAAATTAGAAGATTAGAAGTTTGAAAAAAAATCTTGTTCGAAAAACAGGATGTTTAGAAGTCTGAAAAAAATATTGTTCAAAAAACAAAATGTTTTACACGTTTTACAGGTGTGGATAGCATGACCCTTTCGTAATTGTCATTAGCATATGAACAAACCAATGCAACTTGTGACAATCGCGACCTTTAATACGAATTCATTCAGATCGGAACTTCTGAACTCTAACTAGGGTTTTCGTCCAAGTTTCTCCATTTCAATTTCATCAGATCATACTCTAAGGTAATAAGTCAACCCAAAATTTCGCTCTATCATTACATATCTTTGTTTTGATCTCTCTGTTTATTTTAAGCTCAACATGTTGCTCGAATCCGCTGATTTGATCAAGTAGTAGTTGGTATTCATCAAATCCACGAGTCAAGCTCAAAGTTCGAACCTCTTCCGAACACCATTAATCGTTTTTTTTGGACTGCTGGTGTTTGATTTGATCATTTGAAGCTTATGTATTAATAGATCTATGTTATTTGTTGAATCATCGGTAGTTATGATTGTTTTCTTAAGGTTTTGTTCAAAATACGAATGATTCGAAGTTAAAATATGAGATCTAATCGCCTTAATTTACTAATGCAGATGGAACATCATCATATTGCAATTCCGATTCCAGTCACAGATCACCATCTCCCAGAACTGGAAATGGTAAAAGCTTCGAAGCTGAAAAAACTCTGTTGTGATCGTTGTTGCTATTTCTCCAAACAAGAACATAATGTTTCTGATTCAGAACAACGATCCAGATCTACAGCCAAGCTCTCTGGACTCATATTCTTTTACATAATCGCAATGGCAGTTGAGATTATCGGAGGTTTAAAATCAAATAGTTTAGCTGTTCTTTCAGATGCAGCTCATTTACTCACTGACATTGGTGGATTCTCAATCTCTCTGGTTTCTGTTTGGGCTTCAGTTGGGAAAGCAACTCCACATCAGTCATTTGGATTCAGTCGAATCGAGGTTTTGGGTGCTCTTTTATCTGTACAAATGATTTGGGTCATTTCTGGGTACTTGATCTCCGAAGCAATCAAAAGAATCATTCATAAACAATCAGACGTGAATGGTGGATTAATGTTTGCCATTTCAGCTTTTGGTTTTGTAATCAACTTCATCATGGTCATCTGGCTAGGTCATGATCATGGTCATGGTCATGGACATGGACATGATCATGATCATGGGCATGATGTGAATGAAGAAGAGAGTTCAAATCTGGTGGAGTCAACTTCTAAAGGAAAGAGTGGGAGAATGAACATAAACATTGAAGGGGCATATTTGCATGTGATATCGGATATGATTCAATCGATTGGAGTGATGATAGCTGGATTGGTGATATGGTTGAAACCAGATTGGTTAATGGTTGATTTGGTTTGTACTTTGATCTCCTCTGTTTTTGCTCTAGCTACAACTCTACCAATGGTTAAAAACATAATTTCTATATTAATGGAGAGCACACCAAGTGAATTCGATGTTGTTAGTTTGAAAAAAGATTTAAACAGCATCAATGGAGTTGATGATGTTCATGATCTACATGTGTGGGCAATCACAAGGGGAAAAATAGTATTATCTTGTCATGTAACAATCAAAACAAATATCGATTCGAATGAAATTCTTCACAAAGTTAAAGATTTATGTGAAGGTAGATACGGAGTTCATCATGTAACTGCACAGATTGAATCTTTATAATAATAATAATAATAGTAATAACATGTCCTTAAAACGTACACTTTCACAATTCACAGTTTCACACTATTTCCTTTATGTAAATGAACAAAGAAGCAAGAACTAAAAATACCGAATCTTGGCTCTCAAGATGAACAACAACTCTTCGTGGTGGCAGATGAGGCGACAGAGTCACCGACATTAATGGTGGTCCCTTTTCCAGGTGCACCACCGACTGCTTCTTGCGTTGCTAATGCTTTTTTGCTAATGATGTGATAGATTTCAGTCAAAACAGTTTGAAATGCTTTCTCGATGTTATATGATTCAAGTGCTGATGTTTCGAGAAATGAAAGGCCTTCTTTTTCAGCAAATGATTTGCCATCTTGTTCATCCACTGCTCGGAGGTGCTCCAGATCGGATTTGTTTCCGGCCATCATGACAACGATATTGGCGTCGGCGTGGTTTCTCAGCTCATTCAACCACCGCTGGACATTATCAAAAGTTGGCTTCTTAGTTATGTCGTACACAAGAAGAGCTCCAACTGCACCTCGATAATAAGCACTTGTAATCGCTCTGTACCTTTCCTGCCCTGCTGTGTCCCATATCTGTGCCTTTATTGTTTTTCCCTCAACCTGCGATCAAATCATGGATCCAGCTTATAGCAAATACAGAGAATGTTATATAAGTTATAATGATTGTAGATCTGCTAAGGAATTGAAACCTGGAGAGTTCTGGTAGCAAATTCGACGCCAATGGTGGCTTTGGACTCGAGGAAGAACTCGTTCCTGGTAAACCGCGACAAAATGTTGGTTTTCCCGACGCCGGAGTCGCCAATTAAGACGATCTTGAGTAAGTAATCGTAATCATGATCTATCTTGCTAGCCATTAAACCTGAAGACAGAGAAAAAGATGGAAGTTGCTTCAGATCAGTTATCAGTATGCCGACGTAGATCTAGCTTAGCACATTATATGATTTGGATTTGGATCAAAATCTAGAAATTGATTTTATATATATAGAATAGAAGCACAGGGATAGAAGATGAATGCAGATTCTGCGTGTGAAAATCTTACAGCAGCGGAGAGATCGGGAAATGTGGATGTGTTATCACCTGGCAAAATTAACGGAGTAAATGGGACAAAAAAATAAGTGAAAGAAAGTAAGGAATTGGAAACCGCCGACAAGAAATATCAAAATGTATGAAAACGATGCAAGTCAGTCTGAAAGTATATATAATTGGGCTTAGGCCCATGACCAAAAGATCCCGGGAACTAATAGGCCGTGGACCACTAGCTAGCCGACTATAACTCCCGGCTCCCGCCGACACCAGGTATAATATTTTGACAAAGTTATGCAAGTTGTCATATGCTTAAAGGGTAACGTTAGAAACTTCTACGTATTTGGTCCCTGTGGTTTATTTTTTATTTTTTATTTTTTTATTTTTTTATTTTTTTATTTTTTTTTAACTTGGTTGGTCTTTTATTATATAAAAGAAAATTATTTTATTTTAGTTAACATTTTGTTTATATTCTTCTTGATTAAAAGAAAAAATAATCTCTCTCTCTCTCTCTCTCTCTCTCTCTCTCTCTCTCTCTCTCTCTCTCTCTCTCTCTCTCTCTCTCTCTCTCTCTCTCTCCAAAATGCAAGAACACAATAATCAAGAATACATACTAATAATGAAGTAATGAACATACTTGTATAGAAATGATTTTCTTATAACTTCAATAATTGCATTCCACTAATTATATAATACAACTAAATTAAGGGTTATGAATGTTGGTTAACTATACATGAGCCACACAATAAAAGAATACAACATAAATATATAGAATACAATGAATATACACAACTAACATCCCTCTGCAATCAGAATAGTAGGTTGAAAACGAACATTCAAACTGGATTTAAAATCAAGAATCAAAGTCGAAGGAAGGCCTTTGGCGAAGATGTCAACATACTGAGACGAAGATAGGACATGCAAGACACGAATCTGACCATAGCAACTTTGTCTCGCACCAAGTGAATATTGATATCAATGTGTTTTGTGTGTTGATGTTGAACCAGATTGATAGATAATAAATGACACTGATGTTATCACAGTACACAAGCGTATCGGAAAATAGGGGGTAATGAAGCTCACAGATCAAGTTACGCAGCCATCACGTCTCAGCAGCCGTGTTTGCAACACCCCAATACTCACCCTCAACACTGGACTTGGAGATGGTACCCTTTTTCTTGGAATACCATGAGAGAAAGTTATGACCTATAAAAATATAGTAGCCAGAGGTGGAGCGACGTGTAAAGGGGCATCTAGCCTAATCAGTATCAGAGTAAGCAATCAGACCACAAACGAGACGAAAAAGCATATAACTGTAGGTCGTAATCGACAGTACCACAAATATCTCTCAAAATACGCTTAAGAGCGGTGAAGTAAAGTTGTCGAGGATCATGCATGTAAAGGCAGACCTATTAAACATCATATGCAATGTCAGGTCTTGTGAAAGTAAGGTATTGAAGATCACTTGCAAGGCTCCTGTAGAGCGTCGGGTCATTGACAGGAGGTCATGTGCTATCAAACCTAGCTAAGGTGTAAGTCGGAGTGCGGTCATGTTTGCAATTGAGCATCTTAGCCCGCTCAAGAATCTCGGTGTCATACTTCTATTGAGATAATAACATGTCATGGTTAACTATAGTGACTGCAATACCCATAAAATAGTTTAGAGTGACTAGGTTAGTCATAGCAAACTTTCAACGAATAGTGGTGATGATCTGCTAAAAAAGACTAGAAGATGAAGCAGTTAAAACAATATCATCAACATAGAGCAATAAATAAGAAATCTGAGCACCCTATTTGTAGATGACTAAAGAAGAAACAAATTTGTTTTTAGTGAACCCGAACCCTATACAAATTTGAGCAAATTGATGATACCACACTCGAGGTGACTGCTTGAGTCCATATAAGGATTCTAAAGTAAGTAAACATAATCCGAAAAAGATCTATCATGAAAACTCGAGCATTGATACATGTAGAGAATCTCCTATAGGTGACCATGGAGAAATCCATTTTTCATATCCAACTAGTGAACTGACCAATGGTGTGAAATAACCAAGCTGAAGTCAATCCAGATAGTAGCTGGCTTGACAACCGGGCTGAAAGTCTCATCACAATCAATATTAGGTCGCTGACTATGACCATTGGCAACGAGACGTGCCTTATACTAAGCTAACAAGCCATCTGCATTATGTTAATTTTTAAATAGTCAAAAATAGTTAACAACGTTTGTAGTCAGGGGTTGAGGTACAAGCACCAAGTTCCATTAGAAATAAGTGTATTAAGATTAACAAGACTTTTAGGGATTTCACCTGCGGCGACATTTCCAACATTTCTTACCTCTAACAACATCTCCTATCATTTTTTTCGGCGAAATTTCTACGATTAACAATACTTTTAAGGATTTCACTTGCGATCTTATTCTTTGATGCATCCAATAACTTCAAACATTCCCAATTTACCCTAACACTGGATGGATAATCGATCTTCTTCTTTATTCTTGATATCATAGGAAGCAATGATATTGAACCTGTGAAATTATTGTCACTGAAATCATGGATCATGGTAGGGTTAAATCGGGAAAAATGGGAGATGGATTTCTAATCGAAGGTAGGAAAAGAAGATGAACAAATGAACACATATGAAGATGGAATCATTTGCAGTTGTGTTCCTGAAATCGATTTCCTCTTTCATATTTTGATTTTGATTCCAGATCTCACTTTGAATTCGATTTCATCCTTTAGATTTCGATTTCCTCCTAAGATGAACATGAACACACAAAAACCCAAGCTTAAAAACTTGATCTTTATGGTAAACAACGGTAGATCTGAAATCAGATTTCATAAGAACATGCTCAAACGACTTCATTTTATAAACCCAATAACTCAAAAATGTGATTCTAAATATGATACGATCGAAGAAGATAACTGGAGTGTAACACCTGGTTCCTGGTATGTATTTTAATCTATGTCTTTTTGGCATTTTAGCTGGGAATCGACGAGTTGTAGGCCCGACTCGCCGAGTAGAGTCGAGATATTGAGCACGTTTAAGTTGGCAACTCAGCGAGTCTATATCCTGGACTCGGCGAGTCCGCCAGTTTGGAAGAAACCCTAGATCCACGGGTTTTCCATCCTATTTAAACCATGTTATGAGCCCCAAACTCGCCCCATTCACTCTCAGAGCATCCTTTAGCAAACCCTAACCCTCCCCTTTGTGATTTGAGTGTTTGTTGGCTTTTCCTTGAAGTTTGAAGAAGAGAAGGAAGGAAGGACCAAGGAGAAGGAGAAGAGCAAGGATCTAGAACTCAATCCAGAGTCCATTGAGGTATATTTCGGATCTTTTATGTTGCCATGATGATTTCTCTTTTAGAAACCCCATTTAAGCCATCTTTATCCATTTCCTAGCTTGATTGTAATATAGAGATTATATTGAGTGGAATGGCCTTTGAATCTAGCTAGGTTTGAGCTTCAAGAGCCCAGATCTATTGCCTTTATGGAGCCATTTTGCATGAAAGCCCTAGATCTACTCTTTTAAGTGTCTTTTGAGCCTTTAAATCCCTTTTCATGCATATGTACACGTAAAGTTGGAAACTTTACGTGGTAAACAAGCCTTAGGAACCCAGATCTATAAATTGTATGCAGTGGTTTTGAGCAGAATCGATTGTATAGAAGTTGCATGCAACCGACCCGACGATTTGTTCTTCAGACTCGGCGAGTCGGGTCACGAGTCCTCGAGTTTTCCCTTCTATGTATTATGCCGAGTGGAACCATTGAGTTTTAGGGGGACTCAGTGAGTCGGAGATCGGACTCATCCATGAAGGGACTCGGCAAGTCAATGCCTTGACTCAGCGAGTCTAAGATAATCTTCATATCTCAAGAACAGACTTGACGAGTTGTTCATACAACTCGGCGAGTCCCAGTTGGAGTGTTCATATGATGAAGGAGAACTCGACGAGTTGTTCATACAACTCGGTGAGTCGGATGCAGATTGACTAAGTGTTTGTATCAAAGAGGAACTCGTTGAGTCTATGCCAAACTCGACGAGTAGTAGCGAGCAGAATTGAGAAATGAGAGTAGAGACTCGACGAGTTGGTGGCCCAACTCGACGAGTCAGGTCAACTGTATGTTGACTTTGACCAAGAGGTTGACTTTGACCATGGGTAAAATAGTCATTTTACCCTCAGTATAGTTATCACTATTTGTTTGAGTGTACTTATGGAAATTGGAGCCAGGGTGAAACCGGAGCAGCAACAGACAAATTCCAGAGCAATTCATTCAGCAACTAGACTACGAGGTGAGTCTTCCTTCCAGTAGGAACGGGTCTACGGCCACAATGCCGGCCATTTTAGTTAGCAGTAGTTTCGGATCTCGGTCCGATGGAGTAGTTAGATTGCTTGATGTCTTTGTGATTCAAGTATGTTTGTATTATGTGTTCCAGACTTCGGTCCGACGTAGTATGCAGTATATGTACTTATGCTAGTTTATATGTTTATGCTATGCCATGTTATGCTCAATTAGTTTCCGGACTTCGGTCTGATGCAAGGGACAAGGTCCCAGTTAGTTCCGGATTTCGATTCGATGCAGTTAGTTCCGGACTTCGGTCTGATGCACGGGAAAAGGTCCCGGTTAGTTCCGGGCTTCGACCCGATGCAGTTTCCGGGCTTCGGTTCGATGTAGTAGGAAAGGCCCTAGTTAGTTCTGGACTGCGGTCCGTTGCAATTTCTGGACTTCGGTCTGATGCAGTGGGCAAGGCCCAGTATGTGTTTATATGTTATTGTATGGTATGTGGTAGTTTGGGAGAGCTCACTAAGCTTCGTGC